CTTATTTAGGCCACAGTGTGGCCTAAATAAGGTCACCCTAATAAAATAGCACCAACATTTTTTAAAAAGAAGGAAAGAAAAGGAGAGATAATGACAACAGATGGTTTTTTTGGTTTTTTTATATAGTAGAGGGTTTTACGGCGCTCACAACTGCATAAGGTCATTTGAGCGCCAAGGGGTGGGTGTCAACAGAGAAATCTTTACAGGGAATCAGACTGCTCACTTCTCTATCTTCAACAGCACAAGGTCTGGTTCGACTATCAAGGCACACCAAAATAGCAGGTAACAAGGGATTGACAAACATTTGTTTGATTGGAAATAGGGAGCAAACAACAACAGAGCACTCGCCAAAGATAGGAAAACCCCAAAAGACCTACTGAAAATATAAAAACAAGGAAGCACAGGTAATCGTAGAGGTGTCGTTTATTCGCTACGTTCAGATGCAACGCAAATCACGGCAACCGAATCGGTTGGCAAAAACGTAGACGCACATCATGTAGACGCGAGAGGGACACCAGGACTTAGTTCCAGCTCTCCTCTGGGACAGATCCTCCCCAGCTGCTGGTGGGGGGTGGAGCAGCCGGAGCGGTACCCTCACCGGCCGGGGCAGGGGGAGGGGCGGCCTCAGCGGACCAGTCCTCCATCTTGGGCACGGCCCAGTCGTCAGTGGTGACAGCAGGGAAGGTGGCGCCACCGGCGGGCAGAGGAGCTCCGCCCACAGGGACCTCAGAGGCCCACTCACCGACATCCTGGACTCCGATACCTGCATGAGAAAACATAGCAAACTTAGTCTCAATTTTAGAAAAAGTTTTACGGCACTTGCAACACAACAGGGTCATAAGGGCCGAAGATTAGAGCTGTTACGAGAGTGAAACAAATGCACACACATACAAAAAGGAGAGATTAGAATGGTAGATATCTGTTTGGAAAGGAAGATCAAAGCACACCAGAACACCGGACAACCACCCACAAACACATGCTGAATGGTGTGTTTTTCAGAAACAAACTGGAATAGAATGAAAGATAAAGTGAGAGCAAATGATAAAACAATATTGTCATTGACAGATTAAATTTCACAAATGTCCATCCTATGATGAAGTTTGAAGCTTATTCTTGTGTACACGAACTTATTTCATTATTTAGCCTGCGTACATGAATCTCAGTCCACACTATCTACAAAAAGTTTCCGTAAAGTTTAAAGTTATAGTGCCCAGTACTGGCTAGCATGTAATAAAAGAACAATACAAATTAATCACATATAACTTGGAGAAGAACAACAAATGCGCAGGGACAAAAGATTATTACCCACCAGACCTTCCTACCCCTCCCTATGTAGGTAGCGTAAACACGGCCTCGCGGCCTTCCTACCACGTGGTATCAGTGAAATCGAGGTAATTCCGATTGCTGTTTCTTTGCTCTTTCGCTATAAAACACCAAATGCCGTACACCTTGTAAAAGTTCAGCTTTTCCTCGTTACAATGGTGTAAGTTGTTTATATGTCCGATTATTAGGAGCTGGAGAATCGCCGACGAAAGCGAAGCCCCTCGCGGCCGGAATGCGTGGTTGGCCGGTTAAAAAAGTGACACGCGTGCATTCAAATGCTTCGCGGAACAAGGGATGATTAAATGCCGTCTTTTCATTGGCGGAGAACTGTAGAGCTTTAAAGGGCTTTCCCGTGGTATATATTTCGCCTTTGGCGTTTAAATAGAAAGCTTTTAAAAATGCCGACAAAATGTTTAAAGATCACTTTTTACACAAAATATGTAAAATACTGGCTTAAAAAATGTATCACTTAAAAGATCAGTTTATTTTCTATTAGAACTTGGAATTATTTTTTACCAATCCTTCCGCGAGATTAGAAAAGCATGTGACCCTGCATGCGGGGTACACTACAGTATAGAGCCGACTCGCTCGCCGCGGGGGCCGGTGCGGCGCAGGCCGGGTCAACGCTCAGTGTTTTTGTCGAAATAACGACAGATCATCAGGTTTGAGGTGATAAAATACTGATTCGTAATGATCTCACAATCTTGAAAAAAAAAATAGGCTCCATATTTATGTTACAGTGATTGTACTGTTAATGTGGAGATGTTTAGTGCACTTGGTACTCTTTTATTATCTGTCAAACTTGGGGTTGCTGCCAGTGACTGACTTTAACAAATTTGACCAAATTTTAAAACACTACTATTTTCTTAAAATGAGAGGTTAAAGAATGGTACCAAAATGCTCAGTGGATATAGGCCCTTCAAATGGAACACATAAATTTGGCATACACCTACTTTGAAAATTTTGTTTCTGGCATCTACCCTATGTGACAAGCTAAAAAATGTAGCAAGCGTTCTGTCACAGCACATAATAGAATGCTATGAAAAAGGTTACAAGCAGTTTTTGTAGCACTTTTGAGTCAAATCACTAGGGCAACTGGTACCCAGTGAAGGGCAAAGTGCAGAAAAAAGAGGTTCCTTGACCAAAAACCATAAGAAATTTGGTAAAAATTTCTCAACCAAAAGCCATGAGACTTCAAGAAGGAAACTATTCAACCAAAAAGCAAACAACTTGAGAGAGACTTACCAGCATCGCCAGTCCATTCTGGCTGTGGTACAGTGACTTCCTCCTTGGCCCTCTCCAAGGCCTCCTTCTCTTCCTTCTCCACCTCCTCGGGGTCACGGTAGAAGTAGAGATCAGGCATGACCTCCCATGGGTGGTCACGGGAGATGGTTCCCCTCAGGCGGAGAACCTCACGAGCCAGGAGCCACCACATGAGACCAATCGACTGCTGACCCTATACAGCATACAGAAAAGTTGTTTTATTTTAACATTTCCTGAGCTCACTGAACACTTCCAAATGGAAACAGTTTTAGTAAGCGTTTACGGCACTTGTAACACAATAAGGCCATATAAGTGCCGAAGACTATAGGAGTTACAAGAGAATAACAAACATCATAAAAAAAGGAGGAGAGATCAGGATGGCAAATGTCTGATAGGAAAGAAGGAGCAAACTACACTAAAGTACCCGCCAACCACCCACAAATGGGAACAATTAACATTCTCTCCAAAAGACACACTAGTGATATGCTGAAGTCTTGGTCCGTACCATATAGACTAGATAATATAATGAAATCCTGTGACATCAATACTGTGCAAAAACCAAAATGAAAATCCTTCCTGAAAATGAAATCAAGCCAAATGAATTCATTTGTAGTCAATAATAGTCACACGTTGCAAAAGAAAAAGAAAGCTTTGGTATTCCCTCTTTGATTCACACATAAGCCAGCATTGCCACGCTCATTACCCTCAATGCCACCTTTACTGTCTTCTGCCCAAGGCAGCAACATATTGGAAAATGTTAGTTTAGTTTAGTATGAGGTTTTATGGCGCTCGCAACTGCATAAGGTCATATGAGCGTGCGAAACACAAGTTAGTTTTATTCGCAGTTCACTGTACGGCTGGACACAGGTCAGCAGTTAGATCTAGATCGTCAAATGTTAAAATTTAAAATATTGGAAAATAAAGAATGTCAACAAATTTTTTGCTTCTTCAAGAATTACATCAAACCCAATACCAAAAGCAATAATTGAAATACAGATCTGTGTTTTGATTATTGGTAGAAGACCATAAACTTTTCTTCGTCCGAATAACAATACGTAGCACAGAATGGAAAACAGTCCTGCATGTCAATGTCGTGAATTTTGCGAGGCTTTGTTTTTGTTTTGTACAAATTTTACAGCACTTGCAACGAGGTTTGACAGGCCACAAATGAACAACATACATCACAACTGCTACAAACCTTGTTGTTACAGGGGATTCCAACATCCACGTGAGTGAGGGGAGAGTCAGTGGTGCAGAAAGCAATGACTGGGATGTTCACGTAGGAGGCCTCAGTTACGGGTTGGTGATCTGTGCGGGGGTCAGTCACCACCAGCAGACGGGGCTCACGGAAAGCAGCCTGTGTGAAAAAAGTAACACTTTACAAAAAACAATATACTCACACATACACCAGTAGGATCTGTTCCATAAAATCAGTATGAGTTTTATTTTTATTTTAACTAGATCTAAAACATTTCTCAATTTTATCATTTTGGCTCAAGTGAAACTGATCCCTAATAAGATAAAATTCCCCATCTACGTTCTGATTTTATTCATTTAAATTATACAGCAAACATTAAACAATGACAACAGAAAACATGCCTTCTCAAAAGTGAAAAAAAAATTACAATCAAAACTCCTGACCACAACTTGAGATGAAATTTTAGAACCACTGAAGGAAAGGCCAGACAGGGAAAAAAAAACGTATTACAAGAGATGCTTGACATTTAAAGGACGTCAATAAATCCCTTTCTGGCAGTGTAAATGAGGTAATCAAGGCATAGATTGTTTACAATCATTCATTACAACAACATGTAAAACCAGAGCAACATACCTGGATCTGATTGGTGAAGGTTCCAGGAGTGAAGCGACCAGCAATTGGGGTGGCACCAGTAGCTGAGGCAAACTTGAGCACAGCTCTCTGGCCATAAGGACGAGCTGAGATGACGCACACATCAGCTGGGTTCTCAATGGCAGCAATGGCCCTGGCAGCCAAAAGCAGTTTCTCCCAAGTCTTCTTCAAGTTGATGATGTAAATACCTGTGGGAAAACAAAAATTAAACACTGAATAAACATAGCACTTTGTGAGTGGTCAATAACAAGTGACCAAGAAATATCATGCTCCAATATCACTTCAAAGAAAATGAAATGACATCTGAAATAACAGGATCCTAAGACATCAAACTCATCAAGGTGAAAGCTGTCCGTATGAATATTGCAAACAAACAAAAAAAACCAGAAGCCACAAACTTTTTATCCTAATTGTCAATCACTACATACAATGTCGCACACCACAGCTCATTGTATCAAATTTCACAAACTTGAACTGTTTTAAATATAAATGATTCTGTCATTGGTGCAAAATTTTTCATGTAAGTTTTTTTTTTTAAAGCACCGTGTCAAACTAAGGTCGGCATTTCTCCCACTTTGGCGAAATGAGAAATGTCTTTCTAAGGGCAAAGTGGCACCGAACGACAAGGACAAGGTGCTCTGTGCATGAAATGCATTGAAGTAAAACAGAGGCATATGACATAGTGACACAAACTATTGGAATCTGTTTTTCTTCCTTATGCGCCAGGAAGGTCGAGAATGCTTGTGTTGTAGCCCAACATCAAATAACTGTTAAAAAACTACATCAGTGGTGTTTATTTTCCCGAGCGTTCGGAGATGTAGAGCAACCTGGACCGAACCACTCATAAAATAATTGCAAAACTTCAAACACAGATGGGAAGGAGAAAGAATTTAAACGAAACGGGGGCGCTGTTTGCAAGACGATGAGGAACGTCTGGTATTTATTCGCGTATAATGGCTGTGTTATTCTTGAAGAGGAATGAATGGGCTTTCTGCCGATATATTTCTGTAGTCAGTCCGATCACTGGTTCCATTTTTTTTTAAAACAGCATCGAAAGTTGTCACACGCAAATCTCTTCCATTAATTCTTTAAGGACAGTCTTTAGAAATATATCACCGGAAAGAGCGTTTTCTCATCTTCAAATATTGACGAATCGAATTGCAGTATTTAATACCATATGCTCCCCGTTCCTGTTCAACTGAGGTCACTCTAAAAATCAATACACCAAACATGCGGCCGCTACAGTGAAAACCTCGATAGTGCGGTCTTTAATCCCACAAGATTTTGCTTTCAAAAGAATCGTTGATTCAAATAAATAATACCACTAAAAAGAGGAAAAGCTCCTCTTCTGATATAACAATAGTCTGAGTATTTGCATGATCACACAGTGTTTTAGGAGGGTAAAAATATGGGTCTTGGTCTCTGTGACAGTGCGCCACAAGGCCAGTATGCGGTACCCATTTTGTAGACCGCCAAATTAGTTTACTTTTGTGCTATAACATCATTTTTTTCTACGTTTTTTTAAATTTGATCATCCACACGGATAGACTATTCAGAAAATAGGAAAAGCAAGTCTCTTTCACACCGGGTGAGAATAGCAACTTCCTTTCCCGTATCCTAGGTAGAGAGGGAACCATGCAATCTTCAGAATTTAATGTCATTGGCTTAAATAACTCTTACCGTCTGGCTTTCTCTTGAACACATACTGCAGCATTTGGAAATCCACATTGGAAGATCCAAGGTGAGCAGATGCTGCCAGGAATTTCAACATATCCTCATCTTTGAGGGCGAGTACTTCCAGTCCTCCGGACATCTTTGGTGTTGATCTATGGGTAACGGCGACAACCTGAAAATGAGAGAATTGTTCCATGAATACACTAAAACTATCTAGGCCCTACTATTTGGGGGGAATTAAGACAATACAGCTAAAAGATTGATTAGACTTGACAATTACCTTGACTGCTTGGGCTGTGTGTGCATGTGTGTACAACTTTGAGGAGAAAGTTAAATTTTAAAATTTATAATATGAGAATTGCTGAGACCGAATAAAAGATAACACAGATTAGATCTAGAATAGATTGAACCCAACCCCCCCCCCAAAAAAAAACCACAGCGAGATCGTGTCAACAGTTAGCCTACTGGCGAGTCGTGGCGAGGGTGAAACTCCGGAGGACAACAAAAATAGATGGACAAACGTCTATATTTGGACCAATCACGTCAGAGGTGCGCTAGATCTAGGTGCTCGCTGTAGCTTCAAGTATAAAAAAGTGACAAGTAAACAACAGCTTTACAAAACCCGATCATTAGTTAGATGGTAGTGAAAGCAGTGGCCATGTGCAAAATGCAAAGGTAGATTTTGCCCTTAAAATGTAGAAAAGTAGAAAGCCTGCTGTTTCTGCCTCTGCTCACAAATTATTATAAGTGTGGGGTAAAAGATTGAGCCAACCCACAGGCCAATCAATGCATTTCCGTGGTTATTCACACCCCGGGTGAGAATAACCTAGTCCTATGTCTCGCTATTCTCACCCCCTCCCTTGTTTTACAGGAAATGACCCAAGAGGGATTAAAGGTGAGGTTACTGGGGCTGATGCTCCACAGGATCGTGTTGGTGTCCGAATAGACATAGATCTAGTCACAGTCAGCGCTGTCAGGTCGCGATTGTCGGCAAACATGCAGGTCTATATAATTATAGATCTAGATCTATATAATATCCGAAATTTGCGGGAAAGGATGTGATTTCAGAGTGTTCAGAGAAATAGTGCCCAGCTTTATTTTCCTGAACGTTCGGAGAAATAGTGCCTAAATCCCTCCTCGCCCCCACACACAGACATGCACACTCGCACACACACTCACACAGGGCCACTCCATTCGCAATTATTATAAACAAATCTCGAGAACGGAAACCGTTCGGAGAAATAGAGCCAGCCTTATTATTCGTTCCCAATCACATGAGGTAAGCCACCAAGCCTGACCAAGGGCCCAGATCTAGATTCTAGAGTAGAGTTGCCCCTTACCAGCCGCTCGCCACTTTCCGGGCGATTCGAACTCAGACTGGACTTCGTGCCAATAAAATCGAAATTTTATGATTACTATGGTTTCAATTGTCAATTTCTTTGCACCTGCACATTCTTTGTTTACCCTACCACACATCCACCATCACAAAAGCGTTGAAGCAGA